TATATATATATATATATATATATATATGAACTTAATCTTCAAGGTGGGCGTAGGACTGAGCCATTCATCTTAGAAACAATGCTCAGCCGGCCCAAGTTACCCTCAATTATACTCTTAATTAATACTTTCTTCAGTTTGTGATAAACTATAGTCAGGTCACCCAAACTTATGGGATCCTGCCGGACTAGCTTGTTCATAGGTAAAAGTAGTAATAGAATATAACAAAATTATAACCTTTGGGTTTTAGCATGTGCGAGGCTTTGAGTCAGACCACCTAAACTTACAGAACAGTCTGACTCTCTGCCTGATTCGTTTCTCTCTGATTCACTTTGTGCGTGGCATTGGGCTAGACCACCTAAACTTATAGAACGGTCTTGCCCTTTGCAAGATTTACTTTCTCAGAATAAAAGCAGGAAGAGACTGAACCATCTAAACTTATAGAATGGCTCAGACCTCCTCGTTCAGAACCAAACAAGCAAAGAAAACCCCAAAATAAACAAGGCAACCAAGACACCTGAACTTATAGAATGCACCCGACCCCTGAAAAAGTCAAGCGCAATTAGCCCTTACAAGTCGGAGCAACTAGGTCACCTAAACTTATAAAATGGTATGACTTTCCATGCAATTCCACAACACTGGGAATCCCCAACCTAATGGGGACTTCCCAGCCTCCAGAGCAATCAGACCACCCAAACTTATGGAATGGTCTGATGCCCCAAACAATCCAGAATAAACACAGCACTGGGTCTCCCCAAACTTATGGGGACTTCCCAACCTTAATGACCCAATCAAAACTCATGCAATACTGTCGTCCTCCCAACCTCCCCACCAGATGCAACACCCTTTGTTCACGATCTGCTTTCAGGCAATCAACAGAACTGAAACTGAGATTGCACATACCTTCCTTTACTTAATGGTTTATGTCCTGAAAGTCAAACTCAAGTTAAAGTAAGGGCGCATGCAATACACTCAGTCAAACGTAGTAAGAAGTACATGTAGGGGTTATAACTGGGTTTATAGAAGGAAAGCAATGGTTACCTTTCAATTCCCTGCCTCCAGAACTCCTCCTGAGTTCCGGCAGAGCTCCCGCAATCGGTGGGTGGACTCCCCACAGAGTCTCGCTACGGTCCTACGGGTTGCAATCCCGCCTGCCGCCTTCCTCTCAAATCAGGACTAGACTAAGAGTAAGAAGGGCAGAAGATAAGGGGTTTCAAACGCTCGAGATACAAGAGAGGGACAAACTCAAACTCGCAAGAGAGGGCCTTGAAACCTTGATACGCCTGAGGGCCCCGCAATGATGGTGAAAACGCAACAGCAACTTAGTCAACCCGAAATCAGGCTGTTAGCCGTAGGTCCCCTGACAACCTCCCAAGTCTCAGCCATAACCCCCTTTTCAACAGGCTTAGTCCCCTCACGGTTTTTCCCTTGCCTTCTATCTACCCCACTCGGTAGGATAGGCATCATACGAGTCCACATATGAGTCCCCAAGCCCCATGACTATCTTCACCGGTAGGATAAACTTGGCCATCAATAACAACTAAATCAGTAACTTCACAGTTGGCTGGCAAGCCCTCACCTGTGGCTGGTCCTCTTGTTGTCTCGACTTAACAAGATCGCTGGCCCGCTGGTCAGCAGTGAATCGGTTCGGCTGGGTAGGCAATGCGCCGGTTGTCGACCAGTCCCGCAACTAACACCCATCCATTCCGTAAAACATAGTGGGCAGTGTTCCAACCCTTACGCTCTTCAATCTTCAGGATAAGTGAAGTCAAATTAAGTTTTCTACTGACGTATCCCGCTTGTGCGCTCAAGATGCCTCCTTCTTTACAACTGACTACTATTCTTACCGGTAGAAGGGTAAGACCCAACCGACAGGTAAGAGCAATTTCCCTACAATATTACGACAATTACTACGAATCAGAACGTCGAAGATCATCGTGGCATCGGGCTTTTCGGCCTCGGAGGGTGTCTACCTAGCGGAAGGAGATCGTGGTGGCGAGTGTGTAGCGCACTGAGCAAGGACTAACCCCCCGAATGATCACCAAAGGAAAACATAATCGCAACCTCTACAAAGATCAGCTCGACTATTCCAAAACCCATAAATCAGAAATGAATTTTCCCCTGAAATACAGGAAGATACATTCCCTTTGTTTCTTTTCTTACCCCGCAGCGAACGATCACACAAGTCATAGCGTAAAACCCAGCCACTTATTCTAAAGATCCGACTTTATCACTGGACCCGCCTATCAGTGAAACCTCCAAAACGCTAA